TATGTAGACTATGTAAGTGACACTTGAACCCATCATTATTATGCGTTTGTAAGAGATTTGAAAATATAACGCTCTATGTGTCCCTTCTAAGAAGACCAATAATGAAATTGAAAAAATTGGAAATCATATGAATAAATGAAATCATCATGAGCAGCAGAATCAGGAGCAGCCTCTAGTGCGGTGAATATCGACGTATTCAAACGGCTTGGTGGAAAGAGACCACGAATAAAAATCATTTAAATATCTCTTAAAAGACCATAGGACAACAGATTGCTGTTTATTTACATTATTATAAAATTTATTACAGATGCCAGATGAAGATGTGCTATTGTGATATTACAGATGTGCCATGGGGCACAGATTAAAAGTTTAGTGAATAATAAAAAAAAAAGATAGTGAGAGTACAATATAGAAGTACTTGCTGGAAAAAAATCGAAAAGATGTCCGCATGGAATCGTAAGACAGTATAAATCAAGCAGAAGAGAATAAAAAGAAAGAATATGACTCACCGAAACTTTTCCAACAAAAGTATTTGTTTCCTTCACTCGAAAGAAATAACTAAGAGGTGAAAATATTGGAGCATTGTCATTTTGATCAAGAACATTAACTGTAATGTTGGTCATGGTGCTCTAAAAAAAATAAAAATAAGTTGTTATTGAAATGTATATTTTTATTAGTTTATATATTTCTCTTGCCTAAATTATAAGCAGACATCTCGACCGCGGAAAATATCTTTGCACATATTTCTATTTAATCCTCTGTTTATGTATTTTTATAAAAATACGTAAATAGTGATTCAAACAAGGACATACGTCCTGATTGACAAGTACATTAATCCTCAGTTATAAAGTTCATGCCTTTTGGAAATATTTGCACTTCTGCCGAATCATTTATAATATTCAAATTAAACACTTTCTTTTAGCGGCAAGACTTATCGTAATTATTTTCAGAAGTACAAAAACTAAATTTCATTTAGTAGCAAACAAACTTCTTGAAACATCAAGTAATAATTCAAAGTTCCATTTTGCCAAACACATTCTCACAGTGAACATTTGAGTGCCAAGTAACTCCTATTAACTATGCCGTACATTAACATAAATATTCTTTATTTGTTATAAAATCGTTTTGTTGTTTCTCTTGTTGCTTTTGCGTTTGCTTACACATTCGTAACGTAAAAAAATTGTACGGTTTAATTAGTCAATACCGCTACAAGTCAAATATCTTAGTGATGTTTGGAAGAGAAAGTTAAAACATCAATTATTCTCATATCGATAAGCAGAGAAAGTCAAAATTATTTTGTTTATTGAGATTAATTTTATGGAGATGATAACAGAATGGCACAGAATTCTAACACAAGATTCAGCTTAAGAGAAAAAAAAATTAGTAATTAGTTAGGTGCAAGCCATTTATAAATAATGCAAAATCAGTGATCGGAAAATTTATGTCGGGAGTCAGCTCTACATTGTCTCAAAATAAAAATTAGGCAAAATTCCTCTGGCCATTTTACTTACCTGGGAAGGAATAACTTTGTTGAATGCAACAATAATCATTTTATATTCAGGAATTGTTTCTCTATCCAGCTTCTTCGTCGTGGATAGTTTTCCACTAGAAATAGAATAAATAAAACATATATATATATATATATATATATATATATATATATATATATATATATACTCGACTCCTGTCGACTGCTGCGATCAGTTCCTAGAAACCGACAGCCCGACACCAGCACATGAGATTTGATTATAGTGATGAAGGTTTTATGCAGAAACATCCACACTTTTTTGAAAGGACGAATACAGATACTTGGTGCACTACATGCCACAAGGTCCCCAAATGACTGAACGACCTCTCCACAGGTTTTGAATTCAGAGTTGTCCTTTTCCTAGACCAGTTGCTATCAAGGGTATAGAACCCAGTCTGTTCTGCTATTTACCCATAGCTGGAGGGAGAAGAAGAGGATTTCATACCTTTTCCAAGGGTATTAGCACGTAAGTGAATGCAATGGATTCGATCTCGGCCCTCCGATTCCTCAATCCGATCCGATTTCTCAACCGTACCTCATATATATATATATATATATATATATATATATATATATATATATATATATATATATAAAAGTGAACATAGAAGTTAACACTTAGAGGCGACAGTCTGTTTCATGTTAGATGCAATTGTCAGGCCACGAGTGCTGTTATTTTTCTCGGCTATTTGTATATACGGGTCAGTGGTGCATTGTGGGTCGTCTATTTTGGCGGTTATTTTACCGGAAGTCGTTTATTTTGTTATTTATTTATTTGGGTTACATTATTTTACTTGTTTTTATTTATTTTAATTTTTTATTTTTATTTCTTATCTTATATATTTATCTATTTTTTTATTCTAATTTTAATCGGTGTTTTTATTAACGTAGTAAAATTTGTTGATATAGATTATTTAATAGTTTTGTTTTGATTTGGGAAGATAATTAAAGCTATTTATTCCATTTGGGGGTTGATTGTTGTAGTTTGTTCTAACTATTATTTTGGCGGGAGCAGTTTTTAATTTGTTTATTACTTCATGTATTTAGTTGGATTGATTATCTTTATTATGTTTTTTCTAACGGCTAGTTTATCGGGATCGGTTTGTTAGTTTATTTATTTGGATACATTTAGATGAATTTATTTTAATTGTTATTATTTATTTGTTATACTGTATATTTTCTCTCTTTGGTTTTCGATTTTTAAGTAACGTAGTATTTTATTTTATTTTTATCGTTATATAATAGTAAGTATGTCCACTATTTCGGCATAAATTTTCTATATTGAAGTTTAAAATGAATTTTTTACAACGAAAAAACATTCTTGAAGATTTCATTTTAGCTTTAATCGAAAGTTTAATAATTAAATTTACGATTTCTATTAATTAAACAATTCTGGTGTATTTCAGATAGAAACTATATACGTTTGATTGTCAGATTTAATTTCAAATTTTTAAATTTAAAGGGTCATTTTCTTAATTTTAAGAAATTTGTAAACAAACATAAATTTATCGATTTTTAAAATATTTAAAAAAATTCTGACACGTTATTTTAGTAAAATTAAAAAATTTAAAGTTAAAGTAATCTGATTTCAAAGAAATCTTTGTTACTTATAGCATAAAAAAATAATATACAACCAATTATTAACGAGCGGTCCCGTTCAGTTGTTCGATCTTACTGATAATGATTGATTGACGAGCCGATGACAGCTACTACTGATGACCATAAATGACATAATTTTTAAGTCTGAGTTTTTAAAAAAATTATTCTATTTGAGTATGACACACACTAATGGAAATACAATACATAAAATAAAATTATTTAGTGAAATAGTAAATGAAAAAAAGAAAAAATAATTTAAAATTTAAAGTTTACACTTTTACAGCTGATCGGAAAATACAATCTGTTAATAAACGAAATGTTTTGAAAGGACAAAACCCTTAGATCACGTGACCTTGTTATAATAATGGCAATTTCTGTATATCATACATGGAAATAAGGAATGTATTAAGTAAAAAAATACAACATAAAAAATTATTTTTAAAAAAAGTAGCGCAACTAAATTTATTAAACTTAGCAATTTTGGATTCGTAAATTTTTTTTCTACTTAATTAGTACATAATATCGAGGAACCCTCCTAATACAGAGCTTTACACGATTTAAAAACTATTATAAATTATTATAATTAAAATTTCTTAAAAACGAAAAAAATTTTGTAAAAATTAATTATTCATCAGAAAAAATTATTTCTTCAGACAATAATGTCCTTAATATTACTTATTTACAAAAAAGCAATTAAAAGCTTTTCTAATTAAGTAATATCATAGTTTTATTGATTCATTATTTTTCAATTCAGAGCAGATTTTTTCAGTTAAATAGCTCAAATTTGTGAAAGAAAAGTAGATTATTTACCATCTTCGAAGACTCCTACTTTTAACAAAAAAAAAAAATTCAGGAACCAAAAAGGTTTTGGGCGAAATTTCATTAAATTAAGTAAATGTGGGTAACATATTTTAAAAAAATATATTTTTACCAAAATTTTCTAAAAAAAATATTTCAAAAATAATTTCATTCATTTGTGAATAAGTCCTGAAAATTTCATTAAGATTGGACAATTATTTTATTTTTACAAGAATTTCCAAATCAATATGTTTTCAACGGTAAAAAAGCAAAAAAAAACTATGTTATTTTAAACGTCGCCGCGATGACGTAAACAAAGACGATTTTAACCAAAATTTCGAACGTGTTAGAAAAATATTAAAAATTTCAAAAAATAATTAAAAAATACTTTTTCTTTCATCTAAATAATAACATAAGCATTTTGACGATAATACTTTATTTTCTTTAAGTTTGTGGCATTTTCATTTACGCTATGCTGTTTTTCCGCGAAAACAGTGGACATGCTTATATAATAGTTATAGCTATTTTTTCGCCCGAAAAAATCGAAATCGGAAAAGAAATAAAATGACAATAAAATAAGCAAAAACAATTAATCCAGACAAATTACCAAATCACACCTGTTAGAATAGACGAAATAGAATAAAAAATAAGAAACAATATTCCGATAACATAGTAATTTTTTAATTGTTACTTTAATTCAATTTGATTTTAATAATTATATTGAGGATTTCGGCTCTTGTTTTGAAACATGAGAACTCTTATGTAGCGAAGGAATCATATTTTAAAAAAATAATTATATATATATATATATATATAAATAAAATAAAATTATCATACACTTGTAAGTGCATAATAATTATTATACGCATACATACATACATGAAGCAATATTTACGGTTTTTCAGTTAGATAATGATAATGAAGTCCTACTAATTACCACATAGTTTGGAGGGGGAATAGGCGCATTCAGATCTTTCCCAAGGGTATTTGTAGAACGAAGCTGACTGAAAATGGGACTCGGCTCTCCGACTTCCAATTCTGAGTTGTTATCCATTACACCACCCACACATCCAAGCATACAGCACCTGGTATTCCCAAGCGGTCACCCATCTAGGTATTGACGAAGTTAAGCAACGTCGCTTAACTTTGGTGATCGGATAGGGACCGGTGTTTTGAACATGATATGGCCGTAAGCCCGTGTGCGTGTGTGTGTGCGCGTTAAATGTTACTAACATCTACGCGAATGTAAATATTGTATTTAGCTTCTGATATAAAAAAAATTATCTAATACATACTCAAATTTATTTGCGTATTTTTCACAGAAAAATGAAATAAAGCACACTCATGGTATGGTTTTCAGGCATCTTCCGTACACCAGAATCTTCTTTTTAGGCCGACATTATCAAGGTCACCACCCTGGTGAGATTGAAATCCGTGCCTCATAGTTGGAAAGAGAATATTCTTACCACTCGGCCACGGCCTACTCAGTAATTATAGCTTCCATATTATCATTCTCATTTAGTAATGGAGAAACACTTCGTTTTTATGTCGAATTAAATCTAGAAGGCAATCTATTTTTTTTAAATTACAATTTTAATTTCAATTATTAATTATATTTCATAATTATAAAGCCCAGTATATCTTATTAGACTTAGATGGCCGTTGACCTTACAAAAAGGTTCATCCACTCTTTTGCACATTTTCTTTTTAATCCTGCTATGTGTTTAGCCACTCTCGTTGCCAGAAAAGCTGATGGCGGGACCGGTTTAGTTGCCGATGACCCATACATACGGAATATAATACTAGATTATTTGGTACTAGTAACACTCGTCGACTTACGATATATTTTTTACCTTTGTGTGGCATATACTATAAGAGACAAAATCAAAATCTCATTGGATAATTAGAAAAAAATCATTACTTACTCATTATTGATTTGGAAATCAAAGGCCGGAGTGCCAAACCTGTAACCAACTTGTACGTTACTTGGAACCACCAAATTCTACAAGAAAAAATCAAAGCAATTTATGCCAATTTTTGTGTATATAAATGTCTTCAGAGAAAAAGACACAAAAAGGGGATATCATGAATTCTTAGACTAAGTCAGAAAGGAAAATTGGAAGAAAAGGATGAGTCATTTTGTACCTTAAGTTCTCCGAAGGTTTGAACTCACCTTATATACAGTGATTGCGTCTCTTCTCGATATCTGGAGAGACCAGAAATCGCTAGTGCTCGTTTAGTATTGCACATGTATATTAAAATTACTATCTATTAGATCGAAGAAAAATACAATATTTACGGACTTGTACATAGATTTATTCAATCACATATATACGAGTTTCTTCCCTATTTTTCAAATCGTATAAAAAGACGAGTTGAAATCTCACCTTTCAGAATCTGTATACATGTCCTAAATTTTAGTTACAAATGAAACGAAATCTCATGTTCAGTCGCCATCTTCGAATTTTTAAAAATTCCAACCCAATATATTAGCATTAATAACAGTTGTCACAATTACTGCATATTGTTACCGAAAATATTTCTCTTCATCTCCATCTTACAGTTTCTGTATTTCTCTTTTCTGCTGCGATGCAACTAATTATCTAATTAAATTAAGAGATTGATGGACAATGGCAACTGATTTAAAATATTCTTACAGTGGAGGCATCAAAGACTTGAAATGGTGCCTGTAGATTTTCCAAAACTGAAACTTGATATGAATTCTGCTGAAACTTAATTTTGGAATCACTCAGGACATTAATTTTAATGGAACAGTAGCCGCTGCGTCTGAAAAAATAACGAGAAGAATACATTTAACAATAACACGATACAATCTGAGCTTAGCAATGTCAAAATAATATTAAGGAATATGAAACAAAATCGTAATTTACAAATATTGACTCTTCTAAAAATACAAACGATTAGTTATATTTTCAAGCACTGATAACGTTTAAGCGAGTATTGCACAGCTGGGACAGTAGGATTGACAAAAAGATGTTTCCATTTTGAATTGGTATTAAATGTCTATATTACAATTTGGATGGAAGATTCTTATTGGGAACAGACACATACATGCACAGACTTCAGCTTGTGTAATGCTTCATACAACTTTGTTCATTATTTTAAACTGTTGTGGACAGTACTTGGATGATTTGGATAAACAAGGAGTGAACTTTCCAGGAGTTTAATGGAAATAAAACCATTTCCTTATTACGATGTTTTAATTTCTTTGTTGTACTAAAACCTTGAATAAGTGACTCGCATAAATTGATAGAAAAATCTCACAAGAGCTTTTGCATTCTCAGATTGGTTTGAAATTTCGAAATCCATTAGAGAGACCATCTTACTGGGCTCTCTTTCTTTTGTCGCTTTTTTCTTTCATTATTATTATTATTATTATTATTATTATTATTATTATTATTATCAATTAGAGAAGATCGCGATTAAGAAAAGACGGTGTGTGACGATGTTCGACAATATTTTCACAGTATGTCTGTCTTCCTCAAGTTATGCTTAAAAAAATTTTTACAATTTTTTATATTTTTATTCCTGTGAATTTTTAATAAAAACATAAACTGGAAGACAGACATGCAGTTGAAATATTGTTGAAGATTGGCAAACACTGTGTCTTTGCTTTTCTAATTTTCTTCTTAAAAATTGCGCTCGTCTCTAAGTGTTGGAAAATATTGGAGAGTTGCATCAATCATTTTGTTTATTATTATTATTATTATTATTATTATTATTATTGACACATTCGCAGTGTTCAAAGATTGGAATTTTGGATGACTTCAATTGGTTCAATCACATTGATCCCAATGCTTTAGTTACCACTGGAAACATCTTAATATCCCCTTTATACATTTCAAACAATCTTGCCCTGTCAAATTTCAAATCAAAGTAGATTTTAATTTTCTCAATCACCTTGTTTGCTATATTTGTGCCTGGTATAGCAACATCAATCAGTTCTCAGTGTATTTAGCTAAAGCAATTATTATTATTGCTGTTGTTGTTTTTGTTATTATTATTTCTCTCTTTATTCTTACACAACAAAATTTATTGTTGGCAATTTTTGGCTAGAATAATAGATTAGATTTTTTCATGAGAAATTTCCACTATATATATATATATATATATATATATATATTTAAAATTTCATTGATAATGACAGACTGCTAATAGGTCGGATTGATTGATTGAATTTATGCCAAATGTTTCTGCTTTATTTTCAGTTTTATATGTATATCTTCACATCGAAACTGTCATGAATCATGAGTTTATTATGATTTGTTTATCCGTAGATGTAACAACATCTCGTTTTCATAATTAGCTGATTTTATTCATTCCCTTTTAATTTTCTGCAATTTGTAATATACAAGTATCGTATTGTAGATGCTCTAAAGTAGTAGATAACATATTGTTTTTAGCACACTCCTATTCGTCACTGATAATCTTTTACTTACCGCAGAGAGGCAGGATTTGTTTTGTCCTCTGCTTTAATAGTAATAGTAAGGCCATCGTTTTTGACAACACCTTTTGCGTAAATTTGATTTGTATTTCTTAATTCGAATATTCCAAGGGCGTCATTAATCATTGTGTAGACAATTTGGCCATTTACACCAGAATCGTCATCTTTTGCTTGAACCTGCAAAGCGAAAAAGCATTTATTCAATTTAATCATTTAATACAAGTATTATTATACAAGGCCAGACTTGAACATTAATGACCATCCCGAAACCTCAGCATCAGTTAGCATTAACCTTTTTATACTAATTATTTAATTGTCTCTAGAAAATACATTTCAAATTATGTAAATGCTGCCTTCAACTTATTAATCAGAATCGGGAGTAATTCTTCTTTCTGTCACATTTTTATTGACAAAAAAAAAAATGACAGAAAAAACAAATAACAGATGGTAAATGTTTTCTTTTTAAATTTATTCTATATTAAAATCATGGAACATTTAGCAAAAATCAAAGTCACCTTTAATGGAATGCCTGACAGATTCGCTAATAATTAATCTGATTACAATGTGGACTAGTTGGAACAACGCAAATCTTATTAAATTTTGATTTTAGCAAATATTACAAAATTTGAAAGAACTCATATCAGTAATGTTGAGAGAAATTTCGATCAGAATAATTGTAGTTTAGTATGGTTAAGTATTAAATGTTTATGATATCTTTAATGTAGACGCTATATCTTTGATGTTGTAGATAATATATATGTGGATATAGAAAATACAATTATAAAAAATACAGGTCTTTTAATCTAATGCAGCATGTTGACACAGAATTTTTTTCTTAACGGGAAATAAGGTTTTAGAATATGATGGACGTAGAAATCGGAAATTCGACATGGCCTGAATATTTATCTCTTCAATGTTGTGAACAAATTGCTATGGCTTCAATCGTCTACAAAACGGTAAACTCCAATTAAACATAATTAATTAAAGCATATTCTATCAATGCGGACAATTATTAAACAAGAAGCAGACAAATGTCTTCGTTGATTTTGGTTATTTCCGTATCCCTTTCGGAATATGAGACAAACAGGTGTATAAAATGCACCCTTAACTTGAAGACAAATACTTGGAAAAAAAAACTATAATCGTATTTTATTAGACGAAAATTCAATATAATTTATAAAAAATTATATATAAAATTTATATGAAATGAGAAAATACCGTAAATAAAAAGGTTTACTGTTATTTAGTTTATTTCCAAAATTTTAAAATTCTCGTTGCTTTCTTTCAATCTCACTCGGAAAGAATCAAACATTTAATCTTTAAATCCAGTTTTATGATCAAAGAGAATGTTATGATCGACTCTATCCATTGCGTCATAGTTACCACATTTCTTGACCTAATCACTATATTATTTTGAATTTTTCCTACAAATTCTTCAGCCACATGCACACACTTTCATCAAATAGGAATTCAGTTCCTCCATTCCCTCTCTCATTGAATCAGCCCAGTCCTTTTTAATAGAAATATCGAGAGGTTACAGTTGACTTGTTAAACCGACATAAATAACAGATATGATTTATTATTCATATCTGTTGTTTCAGATCTTGTCATAAGGGTTTAAACTGCATCATATACACCAAACTTACGCTAGTTTCACTAGACTAGAGTAGTTATTTCTTTATAAATTTATATCTAGCCATTTTATTTTTCAAGTTGGTTGTAAAATGGGACAAATAATCAAACTTCCCGGGGCTGAATTTTTCTCTGATTTCTATTTTTGTATTATTAAAGAAAACAAATCAAAACAAAATAAATTTTAAACATTTAGTCGATTTTATGCATTTTTCCCTCGATTCTAGACTAGTAGCATATTACAAACATCCAAAATATATACTTACAGCTGTAAGGAATGCGTTTTGTTGAGTATAGTCACCTTCTTTGACATTAAAAACTGATGGACAAGTGGTAAATACCGGCGAATTGTCGTTTAAATCGAGAACATTCACGATGATTATGTCATCGAATGTTTGGGCATTAGCGACATTCTTCTCTTTAATTGTAACCTAAACAGGAAAGATAAAAGAAGATACGACTGCATGATTAACGGTCTTGGCCATTACACTCACACACACACATACACACACACACTCATATATATATATATATATATATATATATATATATATATATATATATAATTATTTATTTGGGAAGCAATCTCTCTTTTATGCAAGTTTCGTTAAAAACGACTTACAGCATATTGTCGTTATTTTTTTTACATAATTATTCACGTGTTATTATTTTTTTCTTTTCAGGTCATAAAATATATAAAAATTGTTCATATGTTTTATATATCCAGGTGCTTTTAACTCTACTTTTAGCCATTATCAAGGATGAATTTTAATTCAATTGAATATATTAATTTAATTTAATATATGGATGTTTTATGTATGTATCTATAGTTATAGGAATGTTTTATGTTTCAAATGGCCGTATTCATACTTGATATTGTTGAATGTTGTTTTTTTTATTATTAATAATGCTTCCATTATTTTTAGTCTTTTTTTAAAAAAGAGATGAGGCCATTATATTTTTGTTATCAACGACTATGTTACAGATGGTGTTTGGAGGCCTTCATGTGTATTTAAATGAGACTTAACTGAGCTATGGTCAAAGTGATGTAACGTGCGTCTTGTTAAGAATGTAGTATGTCGAATATAATTATTTAGTAATTTTGACGAGTTTTTAACGAAACTAGCATGGAGCATATATATATATATATATATATATATATATATATATATATATATATATATATGTATATATAATTTGGATGATGTTTTTACGAAACTTGCATATATATATATATATATATATATATATAATGATAGGAAAAAGAACAAGTAAGAAACAGATCTTCATCTAACATGTTTCACTTTATTAAAGCTCCGTCAGCGATCAAAATAGAAATGATAAAAAACAAAGAGACGCAGATTAATGGTATATTGTGTAACAGATGATATTTAAACATGTGTGGCAAACATTCTCGGTGCTAAAGTTTGTAAGTAGGATATTTTGATTTCTTATTGACTTGGCAGCTCCTGTAGATTGTAATGTATCTTTGAAAATCTTTCAAAATACAAGGATCTTGACGTGAAAATCTCAAAATGTGACACATGAGGATATCAATAATTCTATTTGTAGTTGAGGCCCTCGATTAATTAGAAAAGGTTCTGATATACTCAATGAAAGGATTCCTGCTTTAAAGAAATACAAAATTGTACTCACAAATACAGCTCACGAATAGCTTTTATCTACGTAAAATGGGTCTGATCTTATTTTTACTTTTTTTTGTCAGAAATGGTCAATGGAAAATGTCATGGAGCCATTTTTGACCTTAGGTCTCTAGTTGAGGCCCGGATGGAAATGTGTATACACCAGAAATCCAAGGTAATAATAATAATAATAATAATAATATTGCATGGAAAATGCCTAAAAAGAACGAAAGAAGCAGATGCGGATCAACCCCAAAATATATCAGTGGCTGAGGAGCACTGGGTTGAATGCTGAGACAGAAGATCTGATTATTGCAGATCTGGACCAAAGCCTCATAACCAGATCCTATCACTGTCACATAATCAAAGATGGAACTAAGCTGAAATGCAGGATCTGCGGAAAATATGGTGAAACTGTCGGCCATATTATCTCAGAATGTCCGGAACTAGCAAAAAATGTACTCAGAAACTCATAACATGGTAGCGATATATCTGCAGCACTGGAAGATATGCAAGAAGCACAAAATCGAAACAACTGAGAGACAACAGTACAATCTGAGAGACACACCTCCATAAAAAATATCGAGAAATTGTCCAAATACAAGGACCTGGAGATCAAGATTAACAGGATGTGGGGAATGAAGACTGAGACTGTACCAATAGTAATCGGAGCTCTGGGCCTCGTAAGAAAAGGAATGGACAATTTTACTAACAGTGTCCCAGGTAATATCGGCATACAAGTTACCCAGAAGATCTTCCTATTTGGAACATCCCATATAGTAAGAAAAGTGCTATCAATTAAATGACAATTCTCCTATAGAGCCTAATGGCCATAGTTTGAACCCAGTTCTACAGGATACAAAGCAGGAAACATAACATACACATGTAATAATAATAATAATAATAATGACAAATGCTGAAGAAGAAGAAGAAGAAGAAGAAGAAGAAGAAGAAGAAGAAGAAGAAGAAGAAGAAGAAGAAGAAGAAGAAGAAATTGGTATGAACAATACCAAACTCAGTTACAGACATACGGCCTGTAACAATTTTATGGGATTTTACAATACACAGACAGCACAATCAAAACTAATCTTCAGACATCGTGAATCAGAGACTGCAAAGACAAGATGTGCCTTCATATTGGCATGGCAGTTCTTGCAGACTGTAATGTATCTTTGAAGATCTTCAGAAAACTATCAAAATACAAGGACCATTAAATCGAAATCTCAATAAATGCAGCACATGAGGACATCAACAATTCTAGTTCTAGTTGGAGCCCTCGGATTGATTAGAAAAGCTTCCGATAGAATCATTGAAGGGATTCCTGGTAGTCCAAGCCATAAAGAAATACACAAAATTTTACTTACAAGTACAGCTCACACCATATGAAGGGTTTTATCTGCAAAATGTATGCGATCTTATGTTTTTAATTTCCTCAAAAAAATGGTCAGTAGAAAATGTCATAATGCCATCTCTGATCTTAGGTCCCTGGTTGGGATCCGGAAATAAATGAGTATACACCAGAAATGATAATAATGAGTGCAGTAGTAGTAGTAGTAGTAATAGCAAAAATAATAGATGTAGTCCTAGTTGGAGAAATATATATTCAGAATAAAAAGTGTAATTTCAATTTCCTTACTTTCACTTGATAAGATTTGACTTTTTCATAATCCAAAACAGAGCTCTTTAATGCTATTTGGTGATTCTGATTGATTACGAAAACAGGTGAGTTGGTCTGGATATCGTAGTCAACAACTTGGCCAGGCGCCTAGAAGAAAAGAGGATAGAGATCATGAAAGAGGAAAAAGAATACGCTCAAGTACAGTAATTTTGATTGAATTTACTTTTGATTTTATGGTAAATTCTACGATAGTTGCAAACTTAAGTATTAAACGCCAATGGCAAGTTTATGACGCCAGAATTATTTATGGCTCTACATATATCTCCCAAATGTAAACAAGAGAACACACACTATAGCTTTGAACTAGTAATTTCAGATTCGATTTTTCAAGTAAAATGTCTTAAGTTGCTAGTTTGCTAAAAACTGAAGCAATTTGATTAAAACAAGCGCCCTAATTAAGTACTAAATGTGGTGTAATGGTTAGCAAGTTAGTCTCGTTAGAAAAATTACGACTGAGTAGCAATTTCGATCCTTACTGGGTGTCCCATACTTTCATTCTTGTGCCACATCTAGGCTACGTTTAGAAAATTACCACGTTGTCATTCTATGAGAAGTAAATTATACGTTTTCATATTTATAAAATATTCAATTACTTTTGATAGCAAAAACGAATTTTTGACTTAAGTCTGATATATCGAAAATATGTTATTTCTTTAATTGAATAAATGTACATCTGTAAGTAGTATGATTACTTCAGTTCTTGTGAGATTTGTTATCTCCCTTTGTTTGATACTCAACAGTGCTTGTACCGTTTGGGTGCGATAATCCCCGGAGGAAATCCCTTTTTGGGGCCGGCTCCGAACACGTGCCTACATCGACCAATGGGAGCCCGTCCTAGTTTTTTTGAACTCTGCGTCTGCGAAAAAGGATCGTCTGACGCTCTCTTTTATCACAACCGCCTTGAAGAACAGACGTCGGCTTGTCTTTCTGCTGAATTTATTACAGTGCCTGTTTGAATATCGACGAAAGGTTGATAGGCCTGAAAAAAGAAGATATTTCTCATCCGAGTTTAAGACAAGACCCAGAAAATATTGTGAAAGGCATTTTCCAGAGTATTCTCCAAATTCTTGGTTAGGCCTTGTTTTTAGTTATCATATTTCTGCAGATGCCAGAATTTCTACTTGCAACTTTTCGTTTGTTCAGCTGAACGTGGTAAGAGCAGCATCTTTTTTCTTCTTTTAGAAGTCTTTTAATAATATCTAGTTTCTGCCAGGGAAATGAGATTATTTGACTGGAAGCCTTTTTTTCTACAATGAACCTTTTTCTTCCACATTCTTTCATCTGTAAATTTTCTTCACAAGAACTTTGTCATACATCGCGTTTTTGCTACACGACTTTTGAAACAACATCTTTGCTTCCCAAAAGCATGAACTCTACTAGAGAGAAATTTCCTCTTATTATTTTGCAAGATCTATTTTCTTTGTTCATGAACTTTGGATAGGTTTCAATCCTACTTCTTTCTCCTCTTCTACGCTACATGGTGCCAAGTACTATTCTCGTGGCCGCATACAGTTAATTGTTTGCAAGCCTGCTTTTTATTTTTGTGTTAATTATTGCATCTTTTTATACTCTTAATTTCTTTAATACTCCATTTCGGAAACTACTTTTAATAAATTCTTTGCAAATCTCAGACAAGAAGACCTTTTTGCTTTCCTTATTTTGGTTCAACGGTCGAATTCATCAAGAAAAAGATAAATTCTGACGGATATTTTACTCATAGAGAGAGAATAATTTTATCCTTATTTTGTAACGTTTCAATTTATTATTTTTTATTCTGCTAGAATTCTAAAATAACAGAGACGTGTATGAAAATTTTTAATACAGTAAACGAACTTTTTATTTTAGCCGAAAATGAATAAAAAGAAGTAAGTTTGAATTCGTGTCGTTATATATGAAACGTTTTGTTCTTTTAGTCTCAAATGCTAGGTTTGCTACTACGAAAGTTGATTCACAAAGTCGTGCGAAACATTGTTTTTCGCACCAGAATGTATCTTACACATATATGAGTCTGACATGCATCCATGCATTGTTTAGTTTTGTCTTATCTGATCCGGTGATTCTGTTATGTATCTAGAGATTCTTAACAAAATCCAAAGAAGAATCTGTAAAGTTATCGGTCCTAACCAAGCATTTCACGGTAATCGTTTGGATGAGATTTCCCCTTTAGTACCTCGACTTCATAAACAAGATTTCCCCTTTAGTACCTCGACTTCATGAACGTAAGCGTAGTACTAGCTTCGCAGATAGGTGTCATTATTTTATTGTTGAAACCTATTCTAAAAGTTTCTTCTTTCGAACTTTCGCCTGTGGAACCCACTCTCGGTTTCTTGTTTTTCTCTCAATTACGATCATCAAAAATTAAATGTAACACCAATCGTCATCTTGTGCGTTTTTGAACCCTGTACTTTTATTGTCCTCGCTCTCTCTCTCTCTCTTCGTAATAACGTTTTATCCGTTTATTTCAATCTTATGTTTTAATAGATTTATCGCCTTGCTTGGGATGAAATGATTGAAAAAATATTGCAAAGAAGGTTGTAATGAACTATTCTAGACATAGAATAGATACCACTTTATTGTGTCTAATGGATTCTGTAAAAAATGCTTCTTATTTCATAAACAATAAATGTTGTCTTCTATTATGCGTCAGTCACACCTACTTTCATATTACTAAATAGAACATCATAGACGTTGCACAAAAGCCGAATCGATCCCACAACGGAAGTAACAGAACATGACGTCACAGTAGCAGTGAGAATCGTATCTATCCTGCTATTTAACTGAACTTATGCTTGTGAATGAAGTTACTTTAACAAACTCTCACTCGTTATCGAGTATTGTGTTGATGGAAGTTTCAAGAAAACAAATACTGAAGTGACTATCATTGGCATTTAAAATCAACATTAGCTATGAACAAAAACATACCGAGACTCCAGTTAATTATAGTTAGGGAAAGTTCGCATATTTGTTGCGTTTCGAGCAAAAACAAACATTTGAAATAAAAAAAGAAGAATTACACATACATGTATTTTGGGCAGAACAGAATGGACTGTACTTCATTACTGTACTTCATTTCACTGGAATTCATAAAGTTACTTACGAGATCATTGTCAGAGATTTTAATCTGAAGAGGAGCGTCCAAATTTTGGTTTAAGACCAGCGTGGTGACTACTGCGTTCTCATAAATGTATCCAACTTTGGCCGAACTGATGTATGGTTTATTTTTATCCTGTGGCATCACATCTGTATTTATGATAGCAGTGGCATATCGCTTGTTGAAATTCTGTTCTTCTGCCTGCGTAAGAAATAAGAACATTAATTTGAAATGAATGTCAGTTTATAAATATACGCGATGACGTTCGCGATAATGACAATGTTTATAGAAATTGTGTTAAAAGAAGTACTGCTAAAAAGATACTAGAATGGAAGAGTACTTAGAAGGGAAAATAATGGGACGATGAAATTAAAAACGAAAAGAATGGGACTTGGAAGTTAGAGTAAAGGAGATGAAGACAAGAAAAGTAAGAACGAAAAAGAATGAGAACAGGGAAATAAGAAAAAAAAAAAGGACGAGTAATGTAAGAATGAAAAAGAAGGAGACGAGGAAGATAGGATGAAAAGAAATAAGACGAGAAAAATAAGAAAGAAAAAGAATGACACAAAGAAATTAGAATGAAAAAGAAGTAGACGAGAAAAGTAGGAAAGAAAAAGAATGAGTCGGGGAAAGTAAAAATGAAAAAGAATGAGACGAAGAAAGTAAGAATGAAACGATGAAGTTAGAATGAAGAGAAATGAGACGAAGGAAGTAAGGAATGATAGAAAGAAAATAAGAATGAGACGAGTATGTTAGAATGAAAAACCAAGGGGCAGGGAAAGTAAAATAAAAAACATAGGGACGGGTACTTAGAATGAAAAAGGAATGAGGTGAAGAAAGTAAGAATGAAAAAGGAATGAAGTGAGGAAAGTAAGAATGAAAAAGAAAGCTGCGTGGAATTTGGAATGAAATTGAATGATATGTGGAAGGTAGAATGAAAACAATGTGACAAGGAAGTAAGAATGAAAAAAAAATGAGAAGGATAAAGTAAGAAAGAAAAAGAATAAAATGTGGAAGTTAAAAAAAGAATAAGACGGGGAAGTTTTTTTTTAATCATTTCACCCCAAGCAAGGCGGTAATACCACGAGAATGCAGGGGGTTACAGAGAGTGAAAACGAAAGACTGAGAATGGGAGGATTGAGGGTAGGACAAAAAAAAAAAAAAAGAACAGCGTTCAAGGTGACAGAAAATGGCGATTAATGTAGCATTTCAGTTTTTGATTATTATAGTAATCAGGGAAACAAGAAATCAGAAGGGGGTTTCACAATTTGGAAGTGCTAGAAAAGAAATTGTTAGAATAGAAGTGGCGGTTGCAACGGTAAAATTGTTAGACTTAGTTGCTAATCTAGTAAATATAAAAAAGAATGAGATAGTGAAAAACAGAATGAAGAAGAATCAGACGAAGAAAATTAAAATTAGAAAGAATAAAATTGGGAATTTAAGAATAAGATAGAATGAGACGGAGAAAGTTAGAGTGACTGACAATGACTGCGGCAAAGAATTTAAGAATGGAAAAGAAAGACAAGTGAAGTGCTCGTTTGAAAAAGAACGAGATAGATAAAATAGGAATGAGACAGATATATAAAAGAAGAATAAAGTGAGAGAGAGAGAGAGAGAGAGAGAGAGAGAGAGAGAGAGAGAGAGAGAGAGAGAGAGAGAGAGAGAGAGAGAGAGAGAGAGAGAGAGAAGGGGAGGGAGGCAGGGAGGAATGAAAACATACCCGAACAAACAGTTGTAATTTCATTGCTGTTGGAATCGATGTGACTTGTTGCAAATTCCATTGGTTAGAGCTTTCTTTTACCAATTTAAAGTTATTTGTATAGCCCGATGGTAAAGCTGATAAAGCAGAAATGAGAAAACTTCACTTTAGAAAAACATAGATAATAAATGCTGGTTGTATTGAATGTTATCTACAACAAATTAGTAATATAAATAATAATTACAACTAAAGTGCGAAAAAGGAAGAGAGCATAAAAATAGTCCTGCAGCCTTTATCACCAGACATAAATTACTACAGTGTAACCCGGATATAAGAGACCCGGATATAAGAGAAACCCGGATATAAGAGAGATTTTTTCTGGTCCCAAATTAGAGCCTGTGTTAATGTATACATATAGACCAAACCCGGATATAAGAGAAACCCGGATATAAGAGACTTCGTCTCCGGTCCCAACAACTCTCTTATATCCGGGTTACACTGTATAAATATTCAAATAATAATAATGACGATAATTATATATTAAAATTATCCAATTTCTTCTTCTTCTTCTTCTTCTTCTTCTTCTTCTTCTTCTTCTACTACTCCCATATTTACTTATATCTGCGTCTACATATTCTATTTCTGTAAGTTACTTTACTAACTCGTAACTCTGTTAGAATAGAAGTAATACCATTGACTGAAAACAAAAAGACCTCAATATTAAACTTTGGACAAGGTTGTTATATAGCTGACTAAAGAATTTAGTCACTAACAAATGAATATAGCTTTTACTACAGTAAAAGGCGAGTCAGAGGAAATGTATGGATTATTTTTTAGTATAGGGATTTTATTTCATGTAAATGAACATGAAAGATTATGGGTGTATTATCGTCAATTCTATATGAAGTTGTCAATTGTTCTATTTGAAAATTATCATTTTTCTGTACAGGGAGCGATGGATAAGTTGTCGTCTAAATTACCCCAAAATGAAAATAACACTGACATCTTATTTTAACTGATATATTTACTAAAATTACACAAAAATATCTTGAAACACTAAAGAGTAAATTTATTTAATAAAATAGTCATTGGCTTCAACCACGCCCTTCAAACGCCTTCGGAATCTCCTGCAACGCTTCTGGGCGGTCTCTTTGTTTAAATTGGTGAATGCTGCCATAAACCTTGCCTTCTTTTCATCTTTGGTGTTACAAAGAGTTTTGTTGGTCTCTCGCTCAACTGCGCCCTACACATGGGCATCAATGGGGTTGCAGTCTGGGGAGTTAAATGGCCAGGTCTAAGGATTGATGTTGCCGCAGAAATTGCCTGGGTTCTCAACTAATGTGACTCAAGAATAAAATCCAATCAATATTTATCTATAGATTCAAGTATTAACCCAACCAATGTTTACCAATAAACAATATTATAGTCTTTAGCCTTCACCACTTGAAACAAATTATTGTGTTGTTTTTCTGACAACTACATCAAATTAGTTCCACACATATCCGGCTACTGCGAAAAACTCTATGAAACAACATCAACTTCATCTTGGCACTTGGAATGTACGAACTCTCCAGGACAACAACTCAGCACCAGAAAGAAAAACAGCTCTGGTCGCATTGGAGCTAAAGAAGTACAACATTGATATAGCTGCAATGAAAAGTAACCATCAGTTGACTACATGAAATGAGAAAGCAAAATAAGACATCTAACAGAGTTCCTCTGCACTTGGATACAATACATTCTCCTGTACTGTTTGTGGTCTTTTGTGAAATTCTCGAGCTGGTCTCAAAAGTCATACCCGTCATAGGCATGCAGATAATTAGTTCATAGTTGTCAGAACTTCATACGTCGAACTCGACGGGAGAATCCATCATTATAGTCTTTATGGTATTTTATTCAATTTAGACACATTATGATACAAACAGATAGTTTACAGTAGATTGTTCCATAAAACATTACAGGCATGGGTATATCTGTATTTAAAGCATCAATTTTTATTCGAATTTGACCCCTAATTGCCGATACTTGCAAAAGATTTGTTACCGATAATAGTTATAATTAATAAGATATAAGAGAACTCACTTTTCTCCAGGTACATCACTAATTGCGAGTTTAATGTATCTTTGTCTTTTGCTATTAATTTCACCGGAGTTAAAGGAGTGTTGGGTGGTCTTGGGTAAAGAAGAAGGTTTGAGTTCACCTGAAAAATAAATAAAAATCAGGATATGCACTTTTAGCCATTATTAAGGATTTATTTTATCTTTATTCATTTAATTGAATATATGGATTGTTTTGTATCTACAGTTATAGGAATGTTTTATCGCCCAAACATGGTCAGCACTTTGTGGTCGTACGCATAGTTGATATTATCGAGTGTTGGTTTTTTCTTTTTTTATTAATAATACTTCCATTATTTTTAGTCTTTTTTACATATAGATGAGGCCATTATATTTTTGTTATCAACGACTAGGTTACAGATAGTGTTTGGAGGTCTCCATGTATATTTAAATGAGACCTAACTGAGCTATGGTCAAAAAAATATAATGTGAGTTTCTTGTTAAGATTTTTGTAGTATATCGAATATAATTATTTACGTATTTGGATGAGTTTTTAACGAAACAAGCACACACACACACACACACACACACATACACACACACACACACACACACACAAACACACACACACACACAAATATATACATATATATATAAAAGAGACAAAGTCCGGCAATTATTTTAAGACATTTTATGTTTATACATTCTTTCTATAGATACAAATGTTTAAGTAAATGCTCTGTTTATAATAAACAGTATTAACAACATTTACCGGCCTGAATGTCCGAGAAATTTTCATAGAAAATATTCGTCCTCTAACTTTTAGGCTCCTATCATCCGATTTTTTAATTATAAATAGCGTAGCGTAAATTAATAAATCCGTTTTTCAGTATATCTTCAACCAGGATTTAAATAGAATAGTCAAATTTTCGCATAGTCAAATGAAAGTTCCTTTTCGTAAATTATTTCACGCTTTTAAAGTATTTTCATAAATCAGTTTGTACAGTAAATTGAAAAATGCCCAACCGACACATAAACAAAGCTTAATTGTAAAAGCTCTCGCATTAGTACTGATATCAATCGGCTGACTGCTAATTTCACGTTATCCTACACGGAAGCCACTAATAGTGGCCCGCTGGTGAGCCGCCGATGGCAATGCCAATGGTAATATTGTCGAGATGAACACACCGGCTGACCGACAGCGGATCACCAGCGGTAAACACTAATGGAATGCCACCCACTGGCAGATTGGTAGCTTACGTGTAGGTTGCACATATAATATAATGTAAATTGTAGATTTTCCTGCGATAATTTCACGCATACTTTTCATCTTATACAAACATAATTCATTTCTTTTGTGTTGTACAAAAAAAAAAAAAAAAAAAATTCGTATGAACTTTGTTTACGAGGAATTGTATAACTTGTTTCTTTCAGCTTAAAAGAAAACAAAAATTATTTTTATACTCAGTAATAAAGTTATGCTGTATTTGAAGATTATATCTTTTCTTCGCTTTTCACACACTTTTCCTCTACGCATGTCATGTATAATGTTCAGCTCGTTCAGAAATGCTTAAATTATCAATTATATACAACCGTTTACTCAGATCAATGATTAAAACGGCATTCAAGTGAATGAACCCAGTAGGACTGCTATAGAATCGCAAAGTGTTTACCAAATAACAGAAACTGCATCACTTGAAGACTTACAACAGCAATACATTGATTATGCCATTATTTTCTCCTCTAGTTACAGTTGGTATCCTTTTCAGGACACCAACTGTAACTCAAAGAGTAAATAATGACATAATCAATATGTTACCTTTCCCCACTATCTTAAAACAAAGCTTAAACAGCTGGTGAACTTGAGAAATATATTTTCCTGACAAACTGTATTAAGAGAAAAATTTTATAAATTTCAACCGAAAGTAAAGTTAAATGTTCAAACAATGAATGCTGAAAGTTTCCTTATAAGGAAACAGTCATTTCCTATTACAATTTTTCTGTTGCAGCAATGCATTAATGAATGCCCCTCAATAAATATTACTGTATTTCAATACAGACAAAAATCTGTATTAGAAATAACGTAAATCAATATTTTTGTAAAGTCCAGGGATTACATATGAAAATAAAGAGAGGGAGAGACAACTTACAACACCACTTTGAATTTTCATGTCGTACTGTGGTAATATGCAGTGGTTGTTTACTCTATAGCAAGTTGGGTAGATAAAAGCCGGATCCTGATCGTCTCCATCGGTAACTTTGATATATAACGGTACATAATTAACATTCCGAGTAGTTCCTTTATCCTGGAAATAAAAGAATGTTTTAAATAATTAAATCCCATCGGAAAAAGAATTAAAAAAAAGATTAAAACAGATATATATATATATAAAACAACAACAACATATATTAATATAAAATACATATAAATATATTAAAGCAAGGAGAGAAAGTGTAAGGTATGTTTATCTCCTAATAATTCGATTTGTATCTCGTCTTCCGTCATCTATTGTTGTTAGTCAGCATAGCACATTCATATTATCATTTAAACATACTTGAGAACTTATATATAATCAGCCCTCCTTCTGTAAACAGAAGGACTGCTTGTTAGGTCTCTTGTTTGTAACTTATATTGGTAATTGTCACTGATAGTTTGTCCCTAATTATATTTTAGTCGTCGTCCGCAACTTTATAAACTTTTTGCCCTCGACTGAGCTATGGAGAACGAGAAGCAGTAACTGTAATAACATTTTAATATAATTTTACGATTTTCCATTTTACGGTAAATATTTTGTCTTCGTTTTTCCTCCCTTAGTTTTAATGTATTTGTAAGTATTATAAAGAATGTAGAAATATTTCAATATGTTCATTTTTTAAAGCTCTGATAAAATTTTGTACTCCCTAAAAATTAAGCTGAAAACATTTAAAAAATCATTAAAAAGTTAGACACAAGTTAAGATTTACATAAAAACTATTTTAGCATTTTTGTTGATATTTGCTTATCATCAAAATCTCTCAGATATTTAGGATTGTAGAAATAATCAAACTTCCCAGAAACTTCTTTAATGGATAATTTTTGTGTCATCGATAATGATTCGAAACAAGATATCGTGGAACCGAATTCCGATGGGGTTCGTTGCATTTCCTTTCAATGCCGTTGGGAAAAGGTGTAAATCTATCTCTTAAATAGCAAGACAGGCTCGATCTGTGGTTGACGAACAAATCTAGGAGAAGATGGTTGAATTTAAAGTGTATGTAGCCCTTGCGAAAAGATTATGGAGTTGACATTTGAAAGAAGCGTGGTGTTAATGGGCACACGACTGCATTCGATGAGGCGCAAGAAAGGATGCTAGAACTGTGAAATCTTGCATGCATTAATTTCAACTCTTCTCATTAACTTCATTGTTTCCTTCCGCGTAAACTGGCTAGGGAGACTATGTTGAAAAATAAACCCCATTTCGTTACATTTCATATCTTAGCCTATGAACTTTTTCAACCGACTCACGAAGAAAGGTAGATAGATATTTTTGTGTATTTATTCAAGTTAGAAGTTTAGTCAGACTCATCAATTGGATACATTTTGGAAAATAGAACTGAACAACATTTAGGTCTGTTGTTCTTTTTTATATACCACTTCATTTCAGGATGTGGGCAATCATGGCTTTGCACAACTTCCTGTCTTTTGTTGCTTTAAGTATTTCTAAACTTTTTACTACTTCTTTTTGCTTTGTGACTCTTGTTTTGCTATTTATTCTCACAAACTTGTCAAGTACGTTACTCGCTATTCTTAGCTGCTTCTTCTCTCCGATGTGTCCTGTGAATGTTAAATTTTGTAAACCTTCTGCTTTATACGACCCCCCCACTAAATAAGCTGTCTTTTAGAATTGTTAGCAGTAGATCCTTTGTAATTAATATTCTTCATTAAAATTCTTTGTTCCGTATCCATGTTACTCTCAGCATTTGTCGCTATAAGGTATAATTAATAGGAGAAAATGACACTATGTCAGTAAGTAGGAATGTGACTGTTCCGAATTTGTTGATCATATATTTACATTAAACAGTTCGTAAATCATATGCAGAATTTGCTTATAATGTATACACATTCCAACAGGCACTTAAGAATGCAGCTTTATATTCTAGACGAAATTAGTAAGCTTCAAGAACAATTTGTCGCTGAAAAATCAATTAAAACTCTTGAGAATATGAATATGACATTGATAGTTGCTATCTTCAAGATTCATATATATATATATATATATGTGTGTGTGTGTGTGTGTGTGCGTGCATGTGTCTGTGTTAGTTTGTGAATGCAGATTTGAAGACAATATAATTTTTATTTAACTTAGCAATAACAAGCAAGAAAATTCTTGTTTGCTTGCTAAACCTTTGTCTTGTTAGCCAGTTTTCAGGAAGTTTGATATGTAATTTTATATAAATTTTTCACTAATTTCTTTAAGGTTTTAATATTTTTATAAAGAGTTCGTGTAATATATTGAAATTGGCTTCTACAGAAGAAATATTTTTTTAAATTTAATGGCTACAAGCGTAATGATAAGATTTAATTTCATAGAAACTAAAATTATCCCAGGATCTAGAAATATTTCTCATTCAGTTTGAAAATAGTGAAAATAAGATTAATATCCATTTCAGTAGATGCATTTGCTGTTGAAAAAGCTTTCTTACTTACCGTTGCTGATATGTTAAGTGTGTAAGTGAGGTCATTTTTTGCATACATGGACTCAAAATCCAGCGTTTGGTTTACAATGATATATCCGAAGTAAGGTTGGTTAATAATGAAAATGTCATCATTATTTAACTGTAAGAGAATAAACAAGAAATAATAGATATTATCATCTATCATCGTGTGTTTATACACGAACTCAAGCATTTGTCTTCAGACATACACAACCGTCCCTATAACGCAACATTAATCATTAAAACAAAGAAACAACGATTAATTATCTTTGTCATTTATCGTAATATAAATGAAAACAAACATCTAAATTAACATTCAAAATAAAACTAAAAAAATTGCGAACAATTTTCGTTCTTTCGCATATATAATTTCCGTAAAAAGATTAACTATTAGAATAAATGCAATTTATTTAGTATCCTCTGATTTTTCGTGAGCGTATAGAACTCAAGAAGAGGTTTAATATGTTGTCCTAAACAAAACAATTGCGCACTTTTGATCCAGTGATTAGAACCTCTCAGTGGCGAAGTACTGCTTTGATGACGGATGATCAGGGCTAGGCAAACTTTATTTGCACCGTGATGAGAAACGACAAATATTAGTCATAAAACTAAGTATCGATTTAGAATGAATTAGAATGAAACCGAAAATTTTCTTACGAAGAAAAGAAGCCCAGTCAAAATATAATGTGAGGGAACCTGTTAAATTTTCAATGTAGCATTATTTTCTTTAATTCTCTCTTTTATCATTTCAATTGATTTTAGATATTTTTTTTCTGGGACACGCTTACAATTTATAATTACCGCTGTGGAAATTAAATTTAGAATTAAATTTTTATTTATTAATTTCAGATTTTCTTTTTATCTGTACTGCCAAAGTAACTAAAAAGCTAAAAGCTTCGAAATTGTTTCTCGATTAAACATTCTTAATTATGCAAAAGTAAGAGACCGAATCACATAAAAGTGGATTATATAAAAAAGATCTAGAAAAAGTTATTTGCTACTATTTAATGACTTCATTGGGTTTACCTTTGGTCCGGATACAATGGCGTAATCAATGTCGCTGTTTTCATTTGTATCTTTGTCTGTTGCTGAAATTTGCTTAAACACTGTTGTTCCAATTGGTGTCAGCTAAATAACAAAAAATATTAGAAAATTAAAATGTTAAAGTACAATTTCTCAAGCAACCAAAAATATTATCAACTAACCCAATCCTAAAGATTGTTTTATCCTATATAGAAAATTCAACAAGCATCCTTCAAAGATATAATGTCTTTTCGTTTAAAAGATAACTAGAATCGAAACGGCAAGAAAATGTTTGAGTGGATGTACCTTCCCACTCCTTTTATATGCAATGGTTTTTTTCAAAACGGGGACGCTCATGGCCTCTCGTTGATCTAAGCACCTAATGCTACTTTCTGTTTCTGAACCTTTACTCAAACTCGCCAAATAGGTTACTCACTGTTTCGTCATGCTTCTCTTGTGTTCAGTATGACCTCTGAGTTTAAGGTGTTAGCTTGCAGTGGTCATATCAAAGATGCTAGTCATCTGAAATAATCTAGTAAAACATGTCTGCGAATGTCAAGAAGATTTCAATGCTATTATTTCTTTTGCTGCACCAATCATTTTTGTTTCTTAATATTAAGTTAGTTTATATTTTCTTTTGTGGATAGTATATTAACATGACAGGCACGCATTCGTAGTTTCTCTTGGTAACATCGAAAATTCTTCTACAATCATCGTATTAAGTATCGTAATTTTTATGGATATTTCAACGGACAAAAATAAACAAAAACACTGATTACTCGCTCTAATACAGGAGAAGAGATATGTAATGTTGTTCGTTTTAATCAGGATTAATAAGGACCTTTTATATATTTAAAGCAGATATATTTATAATAGCTCTACGTAAATATCTATTAGATTATTTAAATTTTGTACACACAATCAAAATTTTTCTTTGTGCTGTTAATCTTGTTAATAGCGCGTTTCTGTCGATCGATTATTGAGCCTTCTTCAGGTGTATAATCCATAAAGAAAGAAAGGTTATTGGTAGAATTCGTCGGTATAAGCAGTGTTTTTACAAAACCATATTTTTAGCGTAATGTCCTATCCTACATTTCAAAGCCTGCTTAGTGACTCTCACTCGACAGAATAATAAAATGTGTTGCTTGGGATACTCAAGAGCCAAATTTCTTGTAAGAAAAGAAAGGGTTAATTTTCGGAACAATAAAAATGGTTACTCATAAACCAACCGGAATGCCGAATTCAAACAAAGAGAGTTAACACATTCACCGCCATCCACTTAGCCCAGGTGGTTCTTATTTATGCTAGTATTTTGTTTTTTGGCCTGATTTACGAAATTATTCGATAAGCGAATGCAGTTCGCATTTTTCAACTTTTTAAATTCTATCCGCTTTACTTTTCGGGTATTTGTTGGGTATATGGATCGCATCTACAGAGAGTAATGTATCCTTTTCTTTATTCAGATATATTTTGTACCAGAACATTTAAAAAATCTCTTCTGTGGCTATAGCTTTTTTTTTGTCTTCACAGTGTCTTATTTTCAGGGACATGTTTCTTTCTTCTTTATTTAGTTTTCTTCCTCTGGAATTATTTTTGCAATTCTTTCTGAAAATCTTCTCTGGCAAAGAGTAAATAAGGTACGAAGAGAAGTTATTTCGTTACTGGAAACTACCTCGATTGTCGTTTTTTTCTCGAACATGATATATTTGTTGTAACACGATAGCTGTTGATTTTGGAATCCCAATTTCTTATCGAAAAACAATGTAGGACGGATAATTACTGGAATCAAGAGTTTTCCTTATGACCTTTTATGTTTTACTTCAGTTTCGCGGATTATTGCTGATGACATTTAATCAGTGTCGAAGTCATTGAACTAACACTAACATAACGAAGAAAGGAGGATTAGAATCAATGCTCTGGCGCAAACCAGCTTGTTTTATTTTTCTAAAAAATAATGCTAGTACCCATTATCTGTAGTGTTTCCTAGAAAGATTTTGGCAACAGCGTCAGTAACACAAAAAAGTTGTTTGAACAAAGTTTATAATGTTAATGACTCTCATAATCTATTATGTGTTCTGTAGCTAAATGACAATGAAATTCCTAGAATTGAGGACATTTCCTGATTAAGAAACAATTCTAGGAAATATCACCGTTTAACATGGCTCGGATGTCATACACTTGGCAGAAGGTTGTAGAATGGGTGACACAATCCAATATAAATATAGACCTCTGGTGAACATCTGAACAAAGAAATAAGAGAGGCTAAGAGGAGTAACTCATGCTATCCTCTTCTCTTGGAGTAAGCAGAAGATCCATGAATTTGGAAAAAGTCTATTCACACTCTCAAATTTGCAATTGTGTTTTTTTTGCAAGTTAGCAGTTTCCATGTTTTCCCCTGTAATATTATATTGATTGTAAGAGTTGTAACGGACGACGGTTATAGTGAAGCGACAATCTACATACACTTGAAGAACATCTCCACAGACAAAGCCGACCTATAGTCGCAGTGTCCCTGGGAAGTGAGACGTGTTCGCACTTTATGAGATGTTTTTTTTAAATCCTTCTTTGTAATTTTGACGATAACTTATCGCACAATATCTGCCTACCTTGTCGTTTGGGAGACTTGGGATCGGCATGGAGATATACTCCGCTGCCTGTTTCGGTTACACAGTACCTCTACATTTCATTAAAAGAAACAGACTTTAAGGCACACAGTTTGTATACGTTTTTTTTTGTAAAAAATAGTATTAGTAGAATATTTACCTCATTAACAGTGACATTGTACCAAGGTTGACTGAATATTGGAGAATTGTCGTTGATGTCAGTGATTGTCCAGCGAACGTTTCGCAAATACTCTTTGTTATTTTGCTGAAAAAAAGTAGAAAATTAATTGTTAAATGAAGAAAAACGTAAAAGATTTAATGATTTTTAATCTAAAAATTATTAGCCAAATTAGTAAAATAAATTAAGTAGAATAAACAGAAATTCAAACTAAGTAAAATTCAAAACACAAAATTATTTCTGTATTTAATCTTCTCACACGAGGAAATGTGAATTAGCTACAACAGGAATTTCACAATCTTATATAATTTGATATTTTTTATGCAACCGATCAAAGAATCAACAAGATTACATTTAAGCAAATTTAATTAGTTATTCATATTCATCAATATGTTCATATTTTTCAATATATCTATAATTAAACTCGAAAAACTTTCAAAGTATCGAGATAAATTTAAATCGTGTATTTGAAACACAGATTTGCAATCAGTTGCTTTTATTATTAACCGTAAACTCACAAATTGATTAATGATTATGTGTGAATTTTTACATATTGCATAAAAAATCAAATTTTAAAAAAAATCCACTGGGAAGAGAGTTAGGTATGCAGAACTATTAAAAATTAAAATGGCTCCTTCCAATGATTTCATGATTGAATATATTTATATACGAAATCGTCAAGAGTTCTCTTCCCTTACCAAATCTGTACATTTCAATGTGAACTGGAAACTTGGCTTGTCATCATTGACATCTGCTGTTGGACCCTGGAATTCATTAAAAAACACAGTTCAACTTAATTATAACAGAATATGACATTGAAGATAAAGCGGAAATTCCAAAATACCTGAAACATGAATATTAACGCACAATCATACAAGTAAACAAACATTCACATGCATATCAGTATGGCTGACCACTCGTTTCTGTGTATGCCTGTCTGATAGAGTGGCTAGCAAATACTTGTTGCAGTAGACTTCACGGTATTTATCATTTCACCCACGGGAAACGAATATGGCACAAGGCCGGTTTTATTGTGGGTTTCTCCGAGCCCGTAGGCTCGGCCAAAAAAATAGCCTTTTGAAGCCGATTAGACGGGTTCAGACCCTGTCTACCTCCCCGGACGAAACCTTGCCCTTCGGCAAAGCCTCGTCCGGGTTCCTCTCTGCTAACGCAGAGAGTTCGACAGACGTCGGAAGTCAGCCCAGACTTCCCAGGTACATTTGCGTTTGTTCAATATCCACAGATCCAATCTTTGGTTAGAATACCATAGACTAAACACGGGAGCAATGGCGGAGTTTTAGAGAAAATGGAAACAGAAAAGACACATACTTAATAGAAAGAGACAGTTAAAATTTCTAGGAAAGAAGGCTTGGAAAACTTGACACGCACAGAATATATTGAAGACAGGATGGAAAGAAGAAAACAATGCATAACCTTCCTTATAAACTTCTGTGAATGGATGATAGAACAAGGAGAGATAACAAAAAGACAAAAATTACTAAGAGCTACAAAGGACAGGAAATTATGGAGAGCCATGATCGCTAAAGTCCTGAAGGGAAACGGCACATGAGTGTTATGGTTTTCAGGGAGTTCTTAACGGCGTCATGTTCTGGGATCATCTCCTAGGCCGATATTAAGAATTTACTACACTGAAAAATTGACCATATAGAGATCGAACCACTCGGTCACGCGCCTATATGCAAGTTCCTGCATATAAATATCGTCTGCTTTTGAAAAAATCCACTGGTGTACTCACTATTGGAAATATATACTTGAAATTAAATATGTACTTTTTATTATGTACTTAATATTTTATCTTTATAAAAGTTTTTTTTAATCATTTTTCGTATGTGTAAGGAGCTGCTGGGACGAGTATTCGCTAAGTTTTACTTCAAAGAGTGCCAAATAGTGGAAAGATGCTACGAAGATTGAGTTAATTGCGCCAATCTTATTAGTTGTAAATAAGTATTTAAAATATTTTTTCCACCTGAGCTTGAACGATGATCAAGTCATTTTCAAAGACAATATTTAGATATTTGTACATAGGTTTATTCAAACCCATATATACTTCAATTTTTTTTTTATCAACTATCGCCATCTTTGAAGCAGCTTTATGATTATATCTTCTCAATATTTGATATCATTCTAAGTGACTTTTACAGGCTTCCAGAGAATCAAATTCCTTCATATTAAGGACATTTTGTAGGGATCAAAATAAAGGGGTAATCCGATGATACAAGATTAAGTGAGTAGAGTGTATATAGTAAGACATCCTACCAAAGCTCTGTCTGCAAAGTGACATGACGTTTAGCTTTGTCCTGACCGAAGAAGATAGATTTCCGACTGGCTAATCCGTGTAGCTTTTCATGGTCTTGTGGACAGAGTTTGGAGAACACAATGCCCTTTCACTCTCATCAGATATACAACATCAACTGCTTCAGATGAAGACCGGCTTTTGGAGAGTTTAACGCTGGCTCATTTCGGTTCCCCCATTGTTGTAAACAATACATTTTTGATCACCTGTGATCATTTTTTTAAAAAATCAGTTGATTTTTTTGGCGCTTGCAATGTCCAGTGTTGTGAAACCGGGATTACTTATTCCGCTACTGCAGGCCTGCTGAAAATTTCTCGGTCTTCCAGGTCGATATTTCCACTACTGACCAAGCGAATTATCTTCATAAACGGCCACATAATGAGCCGTATTTGAATGATCCGTTTTTTAAACAAAGTGTGAAGAACAATGAAAAGTGGATAATTTACAATAACTTAAACTACAAAAGATTATGGAGCAAGCGAAACAAACTATAATTAACCATAATCAAAGCCTGTCTTTATCCAAATAGTAATATAGTTAATATTTGAAGAGAGAACAAAGCTGAAGAAATAATTCCATTTAAACTAAATGAAAATGATGACAGGCATCCAAAATTAGTTAAGAGAAAAAGTGTTGATATAACATCAAGTTAACTCTAGATTGCACGTCGCTTTTTTGGTCAGTTTAAAAATGTTCTTACCGCTTACATGGGAAGTTTTCACTCATACACTATATGAACCAGATGTTGTTCATTCGGATTTATCAGTCTTTACAGAATTTTCCTAATGAAATTAAATTCCCTAGAAGATGGTAAAAGCTATCTCCAGCAGTCTATGTAGAGAAAAATCAAATATTTTGGGAAAGTAGAATTATGACGTTGATTGAAAAACGGTAAAAGATAATGGAAGGAAACGGTAAATCTGGTGTTTGACAATGTCGAAAATTAAATGTCTTATTTTGAACTTTTCCACTACCTAATAGTCTAATAGTTTAGTGTATATAACCCTTTTATAAAGATGTCTGCTTATTTAGTACATTTTGGGCAGCCATTTCAGAAAGAGGAATGTCTCCTCTTGTTTTCGTGCTTTAGGTGGTAATGATCAACAAGGAAGTGTACATAGAGGACATCTTGGAAAGTATACTCAACACGTGGTGCAATGCCATTTATGTTGATGAACATTGGTCACTTCAACAAGACAGAGCGACGAGCCATACTCTTCGTGTAACACAGCAGTGGTGCAGAGACAATTGTTCTGGCTTCCTCACCAACAATGAATGACCTCCCTCATCACTAGATATCAACGCTCCTGACTATTGTTTGTGGGCAGTTCTTGAGAGTGAGGATTGTTATACTCTGAAGGCAAAACTGAAGAGAGTATGGGACATAATAAACATGGAAACTGCATGCTGCCATCAATGACTTTCCAGAAAACTTCGACGTCTAGTTGAGGCTAAAGGGAACCATATTGAATGATATTTTCGTATGTTATTTATCAGATTAATAATTAAGTTTTCTTAAAATTGTATGCTTATATAATACATTTTTCACGAGTTATGAGCTTTTTCTTTTGTAACAGTATTTATGCCGTACCCTGTACATTTTCCATTTTATATTATTTCTATCTAAATACAGAATGCATTCAATACTTATATGTTTATATGCTTTATTCTTTCAAAAACTTTGTTTTATCTCATACACCCACAAACACACGTATGTTTATGTTTATATTTACAATGGTTTGAAAGAAAATTACTTACATCTCTGTCAATGGCTTTTTTCAATTGCAAATAAGGTTCTGCGTTAATGTAGATAATATTGAAATAGTCGTTTGGTTGAAAGATTTTCACAGAAGTACCCAACGATAACATTTGCAAAGAAATATCGTTTTGATTGCCGGAGATTTGTAGTTTCGAACGATACTTTGAGCTGTCAAAATCTGTTAAAAGAAAGGACAAGTGTATTATTTTTTGTACATGATTGTTAAATCCATAATCTTTCATCACAAAAAAAAATCTGTCTATAAAGGAGTTTTAGTAGCGTTTCAAATATATCAGACCAGAAGGAAAAAAGGTAAAAAGGAACAATGCGCGTGCGCGCACACACACACACACACACACACACACAGAGAGAGAGAGAGAGAGAGAGAGAGAGAGAGAGAGAGAGAGAGAGAGAGAAGCAAAACAAAAATAAACAAGCGTAAAACATTGAGCGCCAGGAACTTGTATTCCTATCCATTCAGACTGTATTCAAATAAAATGAATTCTTTTCTATCGTCACTGTCATCATGACAGATCATAGGAAGAGTAGCAAGGACAATGCGTTATAATAAGTCAGTTTGGCGCTCGGCCATAAAAACCATACGACGAATATAATCTGATGAATGCTTTTGCCTTCGATGGACAAAGAAGGAACATTAACAGATGTAGTGGTCTGTTAACAAACTGACAGTCGACTAAGTGACGTATCACTATATTCTTCCATTCAATAAAGTCCTTGTTTTTATAAGTGTTAAACTTTGAATCCATTTTTGACAAGTTACCATGAGGATAAACCAAAATAATGTACTTAATTTTTCAGTCCTTTATACATTGTATCGGTATACAGTGCACTCTTGTAAAGTCGAAGCTAAACTACTGTAATATTTTATTGACAAAGTTCATTTCGGTAGCAGATTTGAAGACTGAGACATATCAGTTCTATCTGTTCAGGTATGAACTAATATTCTATGAAACAACAGGTTGTTTAGATTAAATGTTCTCTTTTCAAGTGAAAGTAAATAATAATAATAATAATAATAATAATAATAATAATAATAATAATGATAATAATAATAATAAGTATGGACACAACCCAAACCCGTAAAGTGTCGCAGCCAAAGGCTGGAGTTTGAACACAGATCGCCAGTGATCAAACACGGGCGATCCCATTTTGAATAAGTAGATCACGTAATGGTAAAGGAAATGTATATATGGGAATTAGCGTGACGTTTAAGCGACCATCATATTTCTATTCTATCCTCTATTACTATACAGATCAGTCTTTCTACACTGTCCTCTATCTTTATACTATTCACTATACTCTCTATACTGATCAGGATTCGGTGGTTACTTTCCGAGCGAGTATTATCGAGTATTAGTACGAGTGTTATTCGAAGGCGTCTGGCACTAGTATCGTTCAACGGCGTTACTATAGTTGTATCTCCGATTACAAAGTCTCTACTACAACGAGCATTACGAAAGTGACAAAGTGACAACGAGTATTCGTTGACATCATAAAAGTTGCAATGTTTTTTGACATCACAAAACCTATATTTCCGCTTCAAAGTTGTTGAAACGAGCAAATTTAATAGAATTATACCAACTTACCTGCTTGTTTCATTATTGCTGGTGTTTCTTCTGTTACAACCTTAAGACTGTTCTCTCCAGTTGTAATGGTGCCTGTAAGAAAAAGGGAAATAATTCGGGTATTAACAGTTAGATTGTCCAATCATTATAATCACAGCATCTTATATAATAATATAACTTTATTCTCCAACATATGGAAATTCTCAATGTAACAAAGCACAAACAAAATCACTTTTCTTTTTTAAATAGTCAGATTGATAGCTTAAGACCATTACAAAAACCAAAAAGATTCTGTTAAATGAGATGCCTGTTTTGAAATTTGTGATGGCATTCTTTTCCCTTAAGGTTATATTAAGGATGAATAAATATATAAATGTTTTTGCTTACATCTGAGAAAATATGAACTATATGTTTCATTTGTATTGATCCTTGGTGGAGTTATACAATATGCACTACGAGCAGAAATAATAATTATTTTCAAAATCTTTTTTTATTACTCTAGGTGAAGAATATCATTTTTAATAAGATTTTATAAAAGCTTATAGGGGGTCCAGTTTTTATGTAAATTCATTGTAACTGATCTTTGGGAGCCAAAACAGTATACTAAGTGATTTCTTAAAATGTAAATTAAAAAAAAAAATAAGAATGAGAAAATTTTAAATTCATGATCTGAAGTTCCATTTTTTATAAATTAATATCGATGAAACATTCCAGATTAGAAATTTCAACGTTTTTTATTGTTTTACATTTTAAGAATTAACTTGGTATGATTAATTGATTCGTTTTTCAAGAAAGACGCCATTTTCGATAGTAGACCTGCAAACTCAAACAGAATGCACCAGAATGCCACTACCAGCTTTTAGAACAACCTGTTGATAAGCTGGATCTATAGCCTCATTCAGTTCTTTCTATAGACAAATTTGATCACCTACTTAAAAGAACTGGTAACATAACCTGTTTAACAGGACAACATGGCTACACAAACTGGTATAGTGACAAAAATTGTTTCATGGATATATCTACCCAGATAGATTCAAGGGCTGTCTATAACTGAGATGGGTTTGTTGGATGCGATTGTATGGAATTTAGTATTTTCTGCAAAATGTCTCATACATGTTTAATGGGATTTAAATGTGGCGAGTGCAGGAGCCAATGAAATACCCCGAAGTCAGCCAAATTGATTCGTTTTCTACATCTTATTAACTCTTTACAGGTTATTTAAAAGCAGATTTTTTTTTAGAATGACTTTTTTTTAATAATAATAATTGGTAATACAAGTCTTACCAATTAACGCACATCTGGGTGGAGAAGAGGTGAACTCATACTTTTCCTAAGGGTATTTGCGCGTAAGTGAATTTTAAAGAACACAGCTGGAATTAGAACTCGACTCTTCGATTAACAATTCCGAGCAATTATCCATTACACCACACGCATATTCAAGTTTAATGGTATTCCCAAGCTGTTACCCATTTAGGTATTGAACAAACTGGACGTTGCTTAAATTTGGTGATTTTACGTGATGCATCTATAAATCTAACGCGTGTTATAAGAATATTTCTTTTGGTTTCGGTCGGGTGTTCAATATACACTGAATTTCAATCGTAAATTTGATGCCTGTTAACTTTATTTATTTATTTTTTTTCATATTCATGTACTAGAGAGTTGAATTTTATATTAATACGAAACAAACAATGAAGATATGATTATTCTACCCGCAGTGCTTATTGTATAACTACACCGACCATTTTTTTCATTAGATCAATTACTTCAAACTATTTAGTTAAAAGGTATTATTCAATCGACCTGCTATAAAATGTTTCAGAATAGATTTCATTATACATGTTAATGTCTTATTGCAGAATAGGCGTATTATTTTAAATGTTGAAAAGAGTCTTTTTTGTCAGAGTCTAAAGAATTTCTGCACTTCATATTATTTAACCACAATCAAGTTTGCATTGTGTACAGACTCAACATAATATATATCACTTATAATTAATATATTATATATCACTTATATGTAAATACCTGTTCTCATGTTTTTAAATTACCCTTCACACCCCTCCCCATATATATATATATATATATATATATATATATATATATATATATATATATATATATATATAGTAAAAAGAAGTATATACTTACAGACAGCATTACAGTGTTGTATTAATTGGGAAAATAGCAGGAAAGCTACTCAAAGAGTAACTTTTCGCCGCCCATTTTCGTCACACCTGAAAGAGAGAAAAGCAGAAGATACACAATGTGCTTAAAATTAAAACAATTTCCCAAGCAATAAAAATACAAAAAACGATTAATGAATTGTTTGCAGATCTTAACTGTAGAGTTGCTTTGAATTTTTCTTCTTTCTATAGAATTCCATATACGTTAATTTTTTTAATGAGGTTCAAAAATTCAGAAGTTACAATCATTCTGATAATGAACTAAGCAAGTATTATGAACAGACTCTGTTATAACCAGAAAATTGTCAGTTCTTCCTAAGAGGAATTTAGCCTTGAAGCATCAGACATTTAAAGAATTACGTTTGCAGTTGATTTAATATTTATTGATGAGTTGAATTGATGCTCTCTCTAAAAAAAAAAACAAAAAAAAACAAACAAAAAAACAAAATCGATTCCATTCATATGCAGACGTTACTTGTTCTTGGAACTATCATTGACATTTCCTGTGGACACCTTTTAGATTTAGACAGCAAAACAACTAGAAGAGAAGTACAGAAACAGATTGCTTCAATCTTTTTGAAAGGATCTTACTGGTATATTATTAAAAAAGGAGTAGAAAGTTTACGTCAACTCAAAATTACACAAACTTACACACATACACACACACACACATATATATATATATATATGTAATTTCACTTATTACGGACACACACGCACATTTGAATATTATTACTTATTTTACACGAGACACATATCCAAGCAACAAGAAATAGCCAAACACAACATGCCATTAATCTGAGTCTCTTTGCTTTTTATAATTTTTTTTTATCATTTTCATTTTGATCTCTGACAAAGCTTTAATAAAGTGAACATGTTAGATTCAGATCTGTTTTTCCTACTTGTTTTTTATCCTCTCATTTTGTCGGATTCCTTTCCATAATCTATCTATCTATCTATCTATCTATCTATCTATCTATCTATCTATCTATCTATCTATCTAGTTGAACAAAATATATATATATATATATATATATATATATATATATATATATATATAATTCCACTCATTACACACATACATATATATATATAGAGAGAAAAGAGTTGAACACACACATAAATAAATAAAATGGGTATGTAATCGAGTGGTTAGAACGTTCGTTTTCTGCTGTCTGGATTCAAATCTCACCATAGTCGTTTTGTTAGGAAGGTGACCTTGATGTTATCGGTCTGGGGAGCCGTGAAATTGAGTAGGCGGAACCCAGTTGTGAGTGAAATTGGGTAGACGGAAGTCTTTGAGAAGCCGTCGATAATTCTGCTAGCACGAAGTCACAAGTCATTGTGACCGAGGCTTGTTGACTGTCTTCAGACTATTGATCACGCTAGATAACGCGCTGTCTCCCAGAAACTGTAACAAAGGTCTGCTCAACACAGTTGCAGCTTTGTGGGTGCTGAACAAACACAAATGTGCTTGAGCAAGCGTCTGCAATAAAAATTGACTAACAACCCTATTAGACCGGCATACGAGTGGCCAGCAACACATACACATATATATGTGTGCACACACATGCACATATATATATATATATATATGTGTATGTGTGTGTGTGTGTGTGTGTGTGTGTGTGTGTGTGTGTCTAATGATTGGAATTAGGCTTGCTGCTGTATGAGAGATCTTTAGATAAAATTACTTTAATCTAGAGATTAGCCGCAGTGGCGTGGTGATAAAAGCTACAACACTATATATTCATCTTTCCTTCTTGGTAAATACGTACAGGAGATTTGCCAACCCAAAAGATGTCTACGATTTATACCACAGGTATATTTTTTACTAGAATGATTAAGATCAAACTATCACGAGAAAGATTCTATATCATTGATATATACATCTTATCGTTTCTGAGTATGTCAATCTGCTAGAGTGTGCTAGCTGATCCCTGTTGCAGACGCATGCACAGTCACATTCTGCTACAACTATACTGAGCTGATCTGAGTTATAGTTTCCGGTAGAATGCGTATAATCTGTCCTGATTAGCGGTACGCTCAAAGGCCGGTACGCTCAAACCTTAGATTACACTGTCTTTCGTGCTGTAACAACCCTCGACAGTTTAATTTGTTTGGCTTTCACTCTTAGTGCTTTATTAATTCACTAAATGTTCAATTTTTTCAATGTGAACAGAAATCAGATAGATCTTTAACATATTCTAAACAGTATACTTTTAGGTAATTTAAGTATCCTTATTTTACATGCAAATCAACTCGTGGTGATATTAGACTTGTGTCAAATGCCTTTAAATTACAATCACTTATTTAAACTTGTCATATTGACAAATAACTGGGTAGTAAAATGAATGAATAAATATTCAAATTTCGGCAACCAAACAGCTTACAAGAAAGAAAAGGCTGCATACTGTAAAATAGATAAAAGTAACATTTACAAGCTTACAAATGTTCCTAAAACTGTAAAAGCTTGCATTTATAATAATAAAATAGCAGTTGACATTGACATTGAAACATTGACGGCTATATACATAGCAGGAGAGCAATGGAACAATATGAGTCTGAAAAAATGATATAGGATTGTATTCAAAAAGACTTTTCATTATTTCAGGTAATTTTCATAATTTTTGGAGGTTAAATTAAAATAAGAAAAACTATTTTTCTCTTTCACGTAACATTTTCTAAACATTTGTAGTTCTCGTATTCGCAAGATGTCGATATTTTATTTGAATTGATTAATCCGTTTTATACAGCTTATCAATCGTTTGTAGGTTATTTACAAGCGAGAAAATATTTTTAAATTGTAAGAATTTTGTTTTTTTAGATAATAATAATTTAATGATACAAGTCTTAGCTAGGGAGAAAGATGCTTTCCCAAGGGAATTTGTGCGTAAGTTACATATACCGAACGCAACTGAAATTGGAACTCTGCTCTTCCAATTAACAAATCCGAACCATTATCTTTTACATCCCCCACACACTCAAGTTTACGACACCCGGTATTCCCAAACGGCCACTCATCTGGGTACTGACCAGGCTCGACGTTGCTTAACTTCGGTGATCGTACAGGAGCTGGTGTTTCAACGTGATGCTTCCGTAAACCCATAAGCAATAATAAGAATATAGGCTGGAACATGACACACTGATGAGTCCTAGGATGCTGCATAAACATGCAGTTGAACGTGCATGGTGTTACATTGTCTGCTAGGAAGAAAATGCTGCAGATGAAGACATTTTGAGCATGTTCAAGTGAAGAGCTATAGCCATTCTTTCAGGATCAGCTTAATAATTGAATTTAATAATGAGTTTTAGGTCTTCACGACGATGGTGTAGAATATTTGAATCCCGCGAAAAAATTAATATATACTTGTACAAACTTTTCTTGGTGTCAAAATAGAGGAAAATATTTCCATTGGTTTATTGCTTTGTTGCAAATGGTGCAATTATTTTGACATAGATTACAATGCAACGAAATAGAGGTTATTTATAGATTCGTGTGAAAGAACATAAGAGGATATTTCTATATAATGGCTAATTCTATTGATAAGTTATACGAAATTCAAGAAAACGTTCTAAATGCATTTTATTGATTTTATTATCAATGGCAGTCAAGTCTGGACAATTTCTTTACAACTTATTTTAAGAAATTAACATATCCTCGTAGATAAGAGATGTGGTTCTAGATAAGGATGCTGAGAATTCCATGGATTGAACATGTGAGCAATGACAAAGTTTTAGAGAGAAAGGAAGCATAAAAGACACTTTATTAGAATCAGAAGGAGACCATTGAAATTTTGGGGAGCTGAAATTTCGAGGGAAACACCGACTTGACAGATAGCAAATGGATAGCAAAACAGCGAATAGAAGGAATAGCAACAAGACAAATATCGCAACAAAGCGATAGCAACTCAAACATGTGTACCCACTAAAAATAAGGTTTGCAGTAATAATATATACTCGAAATATCTTAGAAATTTCCCGGTTTTCTGATGAAATCTTAATTCTTAAGCTAATGATTGAATAAGCTGATGGCGATTTCTATGACAATAAAATATCCGTAGAAATTCCCCTACCGCATCGTTAAATATTTGAGCTTAACAACTTCAACAAAATATTTCAATAGCATTCATAAAGAGCTACAAAAGAAAGATATGAAATTAATAACTTTTTTCCTTTTCACTTAAACAGGCGTTAAACATTTCTTTATTTCTTTCTTTTTTCATTTTCTCAAATCAACCAAGTACCGTCTCTGATATGTCTTTTCCAGTTTCCATTTTTCTTGCGATCAAAACGGAATAGTCCATTATTTAAGAGGTATTGATAAGAGACGCTAAATATTTTTTCTTTCTTTTTTTCCTATTATTTATTGACAGGGTGTAACGATTGGAAGGACAAGCAGAATTATAACAACATATATACATAAAATGGCTTATATAAAATACTTTGGGAAAAATTCTTATAAACTGAAATGTAGCCATCGAACTTAATTAGACACTATTCTATCCGTAATGTGAAAATACAAATACATGAATGCGATTAGATTTCTCAGTAGAAAATTAAATTAACATATGCTCAAGTCTTTTTGATACGAGACTGATTGCTGATGAGTGGTGTTTTGGCGCGGATTAAGAAACACCATTTTCATCTCTTTATTTTTAATCTAGTGGCTAGTTACGATAAATTCTAATTTCAAACTCAGTGTGGAAAGCGATTGTAGATCAAACTACGAATGACAAAGAAGTGGAGCTTTCAACATGTTGGACGGGTTTTTCTTTTCATTGCTTGTCATGCAAATCTTCCGGAGGGATTTATATTTAGCCTCTGACCAACTGACCGTTGCACTCCAGCAGGTATTTGATTTGAAGTAAAAAATAAACCGGTTCCAACGCTCGTAGCTATAAATTAGCCAGTATAGAAAAAGATGCAAAACCGACTAATCTGAAATTCTAAACCCGATTGGAGATTACCCAACCTAGTTTTATGTTCAACTTTAAAAAAGGTGATGACCTTCTGAAATATATTTACTCTATACTCAGGATTGGGAATTAAAAAGCGTTATTTTACACCTGATAGATCTATTTCACATTAGCGGATGATATCTTGCCTTGGAGACTTCACCTTATATCGCGTAAAAATAACTGTGCAGTTAGCGTGTGAATATTAAAGAAACATTTTTTAATGCAATTATAACATTTCCTATTTACTGGATATAGTAGATGGAGTAATTTAAGATCAGGAACATGCATAATCGTGGAAGAAAGAGAAAGTTTTACCGAGTCATACATACCTGCGTCACCCTGGGCAGAGGGAGCTACCATTAGACCTTGAATTTCGAAAGATCTACGACGAGAAATGTTTCGCTTAAAGGCACAAATTCAGCTTTATCAGACTAACTGGTTCTTTGTAGGTCAGTTGATTAGATTGTTTGGGTCTAACGGTAACTCCCTGGTAGCAGGTGGACACAGGTTTAAATCCTGTCAGAGAGCACATATTTTTCTTTAATAAGATTTCTCGAACAGTCAAGTCGGTAAACGAAAATAATTAAATATACTGTTTGATAAATAAACGGAACGTTTACTCAAATAAGTGTATCCACTAAAAATAACGTTTAAAGTGATAAAAAAAATCTGATGGATTAATAAAAATTCATTTACTTTCTTTAGAAAAATATCTTTGTTTACGTTTGTATACGATACTGTGCAGATATGAAGAATTTCGGGAGATCTATGACAAGAGAAGTTTCGCTTAAAGACACAATTTGGGCCTTGCCTGACCGGATCTAACGATACATCTATTGTCACCTGACACATTTATCGCTATACTCATTCCACTTTTTTAAAACTCTCTGCATAGTTTTCTTTTTGGATCACCACTAATTGATTTCATTGCGTTCCCTTTAATTTCATCCCCACTGAGTTTGAACGGTGATCTTAGCTTTGAGAAAAACCGTAACTTTTAAAGATCCGGATGATGCGTGTTTTGTGAAAATTCTGCACAAGATATGAATAATCTGATTTCTTGGACATCATAAATGCTACGGTCACACAGTACAAACTCTTACTCGGTGGTGTCATACTGAACTACATTGGAGAGTATTAACTCACACCAAGGTTCCTTTTGATTGGGTGACAAGTTGTGTGAAATTCAAGCATGCAATTCTTGATATAATCAAATACCTTCCGTATAGGCATCGTGTATTAAGGACATTGCCTTTTATCTTTAAGGAAATTGCTTTTTATATTATTCCGGAATTTAGTGACAATAAGATAAAGATAGATATGAAGTTGTTCTGAAATTTCATTCTATACTTGTATTGGTTCTTCGAAATGTGTGGCTGCTTCTAAATAAACGTTCATCACTAGATTGAAATCATTTTTGTTGGCAGTCTAGTGATTCTGAACTGAACTGTTGAGGCTCCATATATCGAAATCAACAGGAGTGTCTATCATGACATGTGCGTATGCGTATGTGTATGTGTGTGTGTGTGTGAGAGAGAGATAGATAGATAGATAGATAGATAGAGAGAGAGAGAGAGAGAGAGAGAGAGAGAGAAAGAGAATGGGAGAGAAAGAAAGAAAGAACTTGTTGGAAAGAAGCTTATAAAATGAGATTTCAATATTTTTTCATTTCACCTCTTTTTCTCAAATTATGCCCGGACATTAAAAACTAAAAATATTTTCTGAATGCTGGCAATACATTTGAGCCAGTGTGCTTATCACACGGGAGTTTAGTTATTCTATTTTCTTTCATCCTGTATTTTTGTTTCTTTCTTTCAACTTTACACCCACGCCCACAATTAACAGGGATTTCATATAACAAGTATATAGTAAAATTTCTGCCAAAATTAAAGAGAGAGAGAGAGAGAGAGAGAGAGAGAGAGAGAGAGAGAGAGTCATTTCATATTTGAATTCGTTGTAGCCTACCATTAAAATATATGGAAGTAAGATATTGATGCCAGAGCAGTGACAATTGGCTCAGTTAAAGTTTGTAGAAAACTATTGTATAAAAACAGGAGATTCTTCTATAATATAAAATTATATCATAAATAAGAGAAGTATGTGAAAGATTATTTATTATTTAGCAACTGATTCTGTAATTCTGATTGTTAAGTAAATATCAAGAGGAAAATAGTTGGGACACTGCAAAAATCAATCCAATAAACACATTTAACAAAGCGGTTACATAAATCGATTTGACCATGACCCAACACATTGGGCAGTTTATTATTTTCCCATAACAAAGAGCTTCATTCATAGACAAACAGAGACATAGTGATTATCTTATAAAAGGTCAGGCAAGGGTTTGTGTTTGGCTTTGGATTTACACACATAATGTGACAAGATATCGTCGGATAATTTTCCTTCTCTTCAGCGTCACACCGTGCTAATTTCCGGTGTCAAATCTTGGTTGAAACTATTATTAAGCAATCATCACTATGATAAATCGATCATAATTAGATTCGAACCTGGGATGACATTAATTAAACGAAAAGATTATTATTTCCATGATAAAATCCTGCCTCTACGTAAAAACGTTCCTGGGAAATCCGATTGAGCTTTCTTGATAGAAGGGTAATTTTAAAAACAGTGCTTCCTACTGCTATTAATGTATTACTCTTCGACTGCATTGGGCTCTCCGGGTCACTGGCGCATTTCGTATAGAAAAAGTTAACATTTCCCTTTCTCTCTGCCGTACGACGATAGCCTAAGGGTAAGATCTCTGAATAATGCCAAATCAGTTGGGTTTCGATCTCGGCTTGAAGCAATCGAACGTCTAGCCACACTGAAGAGCTGTCTGTGAATGACTATGTATATATTTCTTATTGTTTTAAACATTATATTGAGTGATATACATGCTTGAGAAAAAGTTCTGTTTTTAGACAGTGTGAATTACGTTTACGACTGCACATACGAGATTCTTCATAAAGAAATTATACCTTCAGGCAGGGTTCGAAACTGCGTACTATTTGTAGGGGTAAACACTGATTTCATGAGCTACAGAGAGCCTTACAGTTCAACCAGCTTCAATTACCCTTTTAAATAAATGCACAGTCTTTGTTCCGATTAGAATGGCATGGTTTAAAAT